CTCCAGTGAAACCACCACATCGTTCCAAGTATCCTGGACAAACTCTGGGAAATCCTTAACATCAGATCAGACCAGCTTTTTAGGTAGGAAACAAGGACCAGGCTGTGACACCCCAAATGTGTGAAAGCCTTGCCTTGGGTGCTTGTTAGACATCTCTGTCCTCAGGACTATCTGGGTATGCAGAGAAGGAAAACTGCAAGCCTTTAGGCAACTTTGACAGGACATGTGTGCTTTCAGTCTTAATCTGTTGCTGAATTAGGGTTTTTTTATAGATTTGAGTTCTAAATGTTAGCTACCAAAAGTTTTCCAAAGTCTTGTTTTGGATCTGGCTCTAAGTAGGATGACCTGAGTAATTACAGACCTGTTAGACTGACAGGGATCCCAGGCAAAAAGAATAGAATCACTGATAAAGGATTTGCTTCAATAATGAATTAAGGAAAAGTAATGTAATTAATGCCAATCAACATGGGTTTGCAGCAAATACATTCTGTCACATTGGTTTGTAATTGCATCAAAAAGATATTAAGTGTGGTTACTAAAGGTAATGCAGTCAGACACGTGAAGCATGTGACTCGACCACACAACACTGAATCAAGGATACAGATTTATGATACCAAGACCATCTAGTCCCTGGTTAAAGCATTAGCTTAAGGTGCCTCAAAATGCAATTTTAATTGAGGAATTGTAATCACACTTTTTATTAAGATCTTTCTTAGTTTGTTTCTTGGCTGCATACTACTAAATACTTGTTGGTAGCTTTCAACAAAATATGTAGTCATCACAGTTACTTGCAAAAAATAGATTGAAGGAATACTTAATAAGGTAGGTAATAGAGTGGGATATCGACTGAAGAGGAGCTCTCTAAGTGATGCTACATCAAAAGAACTAACAGCATCATCCCTGGAAGGATAAACAAATATTAAGCAGGGATGATGATGCTGTAATACTTCTGCTTTCATGCTTTTAGCGACTGGGCCTGGGATGCTCTCTCCAGTTCTGGTGCTCGCTCAAGAATAAAACAAACTAACAGTCTGTTGAACTTCCAGAGAGGATGTTAAGGGTGCTTTGATCACAGCCTGCCACTACCTCTTCAGAAGTGCCTTAAGAATGCCTTGCCTTCTGACTTGGCAGTACTAAAAGTGAAGTTAGATTAAATTAGGGGCAGGGTGAGGTCCCTTCCCACCCAAAGTAATCGGTGATTGTTTTTGTAACATACAGGCTGTAGTTCAAATTAATCATTGTACTGTGGTGAAGTGATGTGACCTATTTTATTGGGAAAGCTGGATTGGACAATCACAAAAGTCCAGGTTGTGAACTCCAAGTCCCTGGAGGTATTTGTGCTGCCCACAGTTCCTCTACAGCCAAAAACTCAGAGGATTTAACAGCTTGTTACCTCCTAGGTTATCTGTAGATATGCAAGCAGAGATTATCCTATTGTGTATTTTTGCCTATAATGACACACAAAAGATGGTGAGCTGGGATGATTCACTTGTGAACCTTTACCTATATGACAACTTCACAAAACATTATTGCTGACATGCCATTAGTGCTTTAAATGAAAATTTCAGGTTCACTCTGTACGTGTAGCAAAGGCATGCTGTGATTTTTGGTGTCTAAAAAAGAGTCAGGAGCAGCATCCGAAATTTGTACAGAGTAAATACTATAGGAGAATGCTGTTCTCTTGGGTTCTTCCTAATGCTGAATTTATATTACAGACTTGAAGGTTCATTGTAGTGAGAAAGCCAAATTTCTCCATTAAATATTCTAAGCATTTCTTGGTACAAACATCATGATTAAAAACAATAGCAGTTTATATATACATATCACTCACTCCTGATGTTAATGGGACGTAAAAGCTCTGTATTATTGTGCTATCAAATGTAACCAGGCAGCTTGGGAAAAAAACCAACATAGACAGTGAATATATTTCAACAACGTTTTGCTGTGAAGCTATCAAGGATTAATAGGAGATTCCAGTGTAACGCAGCAGACAAAGAAAAGTTTGACTTAGTAGCTGTCTGAAGAGACACACTAAACTCTACGAACGGATGGTGTGTCACCCAGTAAGTTCTGGTGTTGATCTCAGTACTAAATCAAGAGAGCAGTGTCTAATGGCTGAGTCTAGCATGGCATCCCAGGAAAGCTGTTGAAATCGCTGTTTCTATGGAAATTTCTACAAGGGAAATCCAGGGGGCTGAACAGCATGAAAATCTTCATGCAGCAGAGTGGGTTTTCAGGGATTTTGCCGAGATGGGTCATTCTGATTGAGATGCTGGTGTAAATCGTTCCACGTGGTGGTAACTTAAAAAGCTGACTCTGTATCAGCAGAGGAAACGACCACAAAAGATTGGAACTGGAAGATGAGAAGAGGGAGGGAGGAATGAAGTACTTGGCAAGGAAAGAAAAGAGCCAGCAGCTGCTACAGCACGAGTAAAAATTAGTTTGTTTGTTTCCCCATTGTTCAGCTGAATTTGTTCATGATCCCACGGTTTGGAGAACTCCCTCAGGTGGAGTCACGGGATTAGCAGTGAAATCAAACAGCGTTGCAGTGTGGTATTCCTCCGATTCTGCCTGGGACTCAATTACGCAGAGCAAACACCGGGAATTTGCTCATCCGGTGTCAAGGCTGTCAAGTGACTGAGGGAGATGAAGGTTTAAGTCCACCAGTGCGTTGTTTTTTAAAGGACAGAGGATCCCTGCTGGGCTGTGGCTTGAAGCCATCTGGCTAATTGCATAGGAATTTCCCCGCCGTTTGAAGGTGAAGTGGGGCTAACTGCAGTCCTGCAGCTTTCTGTCTTGGGCTAAAAGGAAAGGCGACATCCCAACATTAACTATTAAGCCAGCTCGGATGTTGCAATCAGGAGATCAAAGGTCTACAGGGATCTGGAACATCTTATTCAGGACCTGGGCATCCATCTTAGGTGGATATATACAAATGACAGCTCACATTAAGTGAGAAAGGACCCTACAGTAAGTTTATGAGAATTTCAAAGCAGATATAAATCCAACGTTACATGCGAAACAATGGTGCTTCCTTCTATTGAAAATCTTTCCTTCCTTTGTCGTGAGTCAAAAGTTTAGCAAAAGTGATGCATGCCAAATTTATTTGCAAAAGTTGGAGTAGATTAAAAAAAAAAAACAACTAACAAAAACCCCCAGTAGTAGCTAACAATAGTGACGCATAAGGGATTGTACTGCTCCCAGTGTTAAACAGATGAGATAATGTCAACATCAGCATTGTCTCAGGAAGCTCCGGATCAGAATCCTGGCCAGCTAAGTTACAAAAAGGCAAGGAACCGGGATTTCACTTAAAATTTTGAGGGTTATCAGGAAAAATGGTTAGGGGAAGGAGAGAAAAATAGTTTTGTATTTACCTTTTAGGAGTCTTACTTCAACCTATACAAACTTTCATGAATTATATCCTATAGATAGGTAACAGTGGTGGGGCTGGCCCTGTGCTGATGCAAAGTACTATAATTCCATCGAATTTTCTGCAACCACACATTGCTGGAGGCTGAATTTGTGTCCCTAATGAGAGTTTCTACTTTGTCTTCCACCTGCAAGTATGCAGGAAGACAGTGGGGTGTCAGATCAGTGTGCTGAAGGAGAACAGCACTGCTGCACATATATACATTATTTAGTGTAACAGGTACTTCTTAATAGTAGCTTTTAGCTAGTACTGAAAAACAGTTAAATTCATAATGTATCAGGTCAGAGGAACATCAGGACACTGATTGGGGTGGGGGTGTATTTTTTTTTAAGGCAATGCTGAATAAAAATAAACTTCCATGTGAAAAATATTTTTAAATAACATTGGATAGCTCCAAATAAAACACTTAAAACCAGATCAACTGCCTAAGGATTGTCTCCTTGCTTAATTCCATTTTAACTGTACTAACAAAGGGACTACACCTGTCCGAAAACAACCAAAGACGTTTCAACACATCTTTTATCACAGCAAACATGCTGGTTTGGTTTTTCCTTCAGAAATTATTGGTTTTTTTTTTATTTGCACTTTTAAAGAAAAGCTTATCTTGCCTGTAGAGAAGTTCAGTCTGAAAGGAAATGATGAGGAATCTGCAAGCAACTGGAGAGCACCTGCTAGAATGTAAACAGCTTGTGCAGATCTACTGCAGGCGTCCCTGTGCACCCTGCCTTTAGCAGCAGGACACACCAACGCTCTGCTTTAGAAAAATCAGAATAGTTTCTGTTTTTTGGCAGATTCCAGATGAGACAAAGTTGGATAGTAGTCCCATCTCTCATGTGGATCACTGATGCCTGCAGCATCCCAGCTTTGGTTACAAACACCAGCCAAACCCCGTAAGAAAACTGCCTGAGGATGAACAATATTCAAAAGGAAGCTGTGCTGGATGCTGTGAATGGGGAGTGCCATTTTGCACTCTGTGCTTCTCGCCGGTGCTGAGCCACAAAAGAAAGCATGATGCTATTTTAGCCAGCTATTTAGGCCCATGAATAATTCTACTGACTTATTAAGTTTTCACAGAAACTTTAAAAGTTTTAAGTACAGTTAATGTGTATCCACGTGGGTTTGCTGCGGCCAGGACCATTTAATTTCTAAGCAACATCTGTATTCTAAAATGCCATTTAAGGCTGTATGTGACCCCTTTCTCACAAAAACCACCCACAACAAACAAAAAACAAACAAACAAAAATCCCCATCCCCTTCCAGTATGAAGTTAGCACGAAAAATTAACACCCCGCAACTCGGCTGCCCATTGTTAACAGACAGAACACTTCCTCATCCAAAATTACGCTCCTTTATCTAAAATTACAATAATTAGTTGCCGTGCCCATGCTGGAAGTGGAAACCCCAGGGAAATTTAGAACAGGAACCGTCTACGCTCATTTCCCAAGGTATACATTTGGCTGATTTGGGGAGGACAGATGATCTGCGGGGACATTTTCAAGTTCTTACTGGAGAAGTTGTAAGAACCCCGCTACGAAGAGGGGATGCCGGGGGGCTGAAGGAGTTGCGGAGGAACGTGCCGGGGTGCCCGTAGGCTGAGGAGAGGCACCAGGCAACCGAAACGCGCCTTTGCCGGAGGGCGGGAGGGCAGGAGGGCGGGAAGCGAAGCAGTTTCGGGAAGCCGCGTCCCCCTCCCCTCTCCGCCGCCGCCCCCCGCCCGAGCCCGGACAGCGGCGGGGGCGGCCTCGGGGAGCCGGCCCGGGGGAGGAGCGGAGCGGAGCGGAGCCACACGGCGCGCCCGCTCCGCCAGCCCGGCCGGCTCTGCGGGGAGGCGGCTGCCCGAGCGGGGCCGCCCCCGCGCCTCTCCCGCCGCCCGCGCCGCCTGGACCACTGGGAAGATGGATGGACACGTCCTGGGATGGATCGTCCTCCTGTGGATCGCAGGTAGAGGCACGGGTGGCCCCGACGTCCCCACGCCGTGCCCAGCCCGCCGGGCTCCGCGGCTTTCCTGAGGGCGAAAACTGGGGGGGGGGGTTTGGGGGGATGCTTCGGAGGGAGCCGGCGGGGGGGCCGCAGATGCTTCGGAGGGAGCCGGCGTGGGGGCCGCAGCTGCTCGGGGCCGTCCCGCGGTGCAGTTTGCGGAGACTTGGCGGAGAGGGCTGGGAACGGGGGGCAGCCGGTGCCTCCCGCCCGGCCGGGGCGCGGGGCAGCTCCGAGCGGCCCCCGGCGCTTCTCTCCTCTTCTCTCCGCGCTTGGGCCCCGCTCGCCGCGGGGGAGAGAGCGCGCCCGCCTCGGGGAAGGGGCAGCCGGCCCGGGGGTGTCGGAGTGTCCTTGGCCGCCGTGAGAGAGGGATGGCGACGAACCCCCGGCTCCCCCCGCCCGCCCGTGCCGTGCCGTGCCGGGAACAATTGCAGGAACTTCTCCTTCACCCGGTGTCCTGACCGCACATGCCGTCAAAACGGAGGTGTGAGAGGAGGGGGCTGCCCTGCCTCTGGCCCGGCTTCCAGAGGGCAGAATTCTCGGGGGGCCTTCCCGTGACGGTGCAGTTCGCCCAGGCCTTTGTGAGCGCAGGACGGGATTGCCCCCCAGCCCAGCTCGCCGCCCGCCAGCTCCCGAAAAGCTCGGGCAAGTCCCCCCCTGGGCAAGGGGAGGGGAGCCGGAGAGGCGAGCAGAGAGGGCTCAGTGATGGGAGAGGGCAGGGGGGACAAGCTGAAAAGGGGCTGGGTCTGAGAGCTGGGCAGCGAGGAGCGGGGATTCCAGCAGGGTGAGAGCGGCGGGGCAGCCGGGAACCGGGGGGAAAGAGAAAGCCGTGTCAGGTCAGGAGCAAGATCTGCCTCCCGTGAGCCGGTGCAGCAGCCAGGCACAGGCAGGAGCAGCAGGCTATAGGAAAAGCTGCAGTAGGATGACTTAGCCAGGCAAGCTGGTTACAGGCTGAAAGAAGAAACAGACACACTTGGGTTAAGTGGCGTATATTTCCCACTGTCACCTATGTATCCCACAAAAAAGACCTCAGCCTCTTCCCTCTTCCTATTCAGATTTAGGATTCACAAGCAGTAAATTCGGCTTTTAGTCATAACACCTCTCTCCCACCACCCACCCACCCCTTTCCTTGCATTTTCACTCTGAGTCATCCTCAACACCGGTGCCTGCCTACTGCTCCCTTCCAGGGTTTCGCGGCCTCATCTGGGGCTTCAGCAGCTTCCAGCTCATTCTCCCTCCCTTCTCTCTCTCCCTCCTTCCCTGCCATTTGGCTGCTTCCAAATGTATCCCACTTCAGTGAGTTGGTCTGGAGTGGCAGCGCACCCACAGCTGCCCCTCCTTTCCCACTAGCCGTAGTGGTGTGCTGATAAACAGCATCCAAGGACCGTCAAAGGAGTACGGGGTGTAGCCAAACATGACATTACATTCCTCCCTCCTTCTAAAGAGCTTCTTTATCTCGTCATGTCACTCTAATCAGGACTTTTTTATCAAGCTAAAAGACCGCGCTGTTGACACTTTTCTCCTTCCACTGAGGGCAGTTCACGATTCCTGGCAGCGAGCACTGTTTGGAGCATGCAGGGTCAATGCAGAGAGAGAGAGAGAGGTACCGCTGCAGTGGGAAGACCTTCCAGTTTCCTCTAGCCCTGTGGTTTTGAGACAGGACTGCGTGCTGCTGGTGCTGTGGAAAGCTGGCAGGCACAGGCTTCCGGCAGGCAACAGGTTATCCACAGCTGTGTGCTGAGGGATGGAGGCACTCAGTGCTCGCCTACTCCCCTCCAGCCGCTGCTGCCCAGCCATAAATCAGGTGCTGATGTCCTTTTTCACAGCCGACAGAAAGCAAATAAGCAAAGGTGTGTGAGTGTGTGTGTGTGCGTGCGCGCACAGAAAAGGAAGAGGGGGCTAGCAAACATGGATTCAAGATTTTCCTCTCCCCAGTGGCTGTGCAAAGGAATGAAAGGTCTGCATCAAGGTAAGGAGCCCTAATCCAGCCACAGTGCTACACTCCACTCTGGGGAAGAGCAGTGGGGGTTGGGAGGTGGAGGGGCCAGGGGCCAGAGTGCAAGATGGGGAAGAAGCAGGGAGACAAAAGGGAGCACGAAAGAGAAGGCTGTCATTCCCTTCCCTCCCCTCCTCCCTCCTCGAGGTGAGCTGAGAAATTTCTAATCAGCACTTTCAGTCCCTTTCCTCCCAGCAGCAATTCCTCTCTGTCCTTTGTTTGTCTTTAATTTTTGGCTCTTGCATTTATCTTTTGTTTGGTTTTGCCCATTGTGAGCTCTTAGGGCAATTTCAAAAAATCCTGTGTGAGGCACAATGGATTTGGTTTGGCTTCTCCCCCTCCTGTCCTGCTCTCCCACGTGCCTGAAGCGAGTGTTTTAATAACAACAGCAAACGGATGAAGAGCAGGTCGTTCTTTATTCCTTCCTGTGAGGTCACACGGGTTAAGATATGTGTGGAACTGTGCTCTCATTCTATAAAAAGAAGATACAATTTGCCAAGTATCCTTAGTCCCTGTGTAAAGCCTGTTCTTGTAAATTACCAAGTGCAGCTTGATTCTGGAATGATTCCTCCCCTTGTGTTTACCATTTTCTTATTAATGCTGTAATTTCTAATGCATTTGAAAGAGCATAGTGCTGCGCTGGCGACTGAACTCCAGTTTTAGTACAGAACAAGCAGATCAATTTTTTCCTGCCTCACAACTTGGACTAAGCTTGGAAAAATCACAATTAGAAGACTGTCCATGTTAAAATGGGATATTTTCTCTCTGATAAGTGCTTTTCCACCTGTAATTTAGCATGCAGTCCCTGTGTACTGTCGCTGTACCTGTTCTTTCCCTGCCACGGAGGGCAGGCAGAGGAGGCATGCTGGAGCCCAGTTGTGTCATTGCTGTTTCTGCCCAGCTGACCAGACTTCTTGGGAAGACAGGGAAACAGCTGGACTCTTTTACTGGCCTTGATTTAAAGAGTTCATCTGACTTCCCTTGCCTGGCTTCACAGAGCGTAGCAAGTGTAGCATAACTGGGAAGAAATCTCATGTTTTTCTTACTTTTTATTCCTGTGAGGTCACCTTGAGTGAGACTGGCACCAGTGGAAATCCCAATGCCATCCCAAGGACGGGTATTATAGCTTGGTGCTGCAAGGCTTGGAGGGATTCTTCACATTTCTTTTGCTTTGTTCTCAGGCTTCTGATGAGTGATATTTCTGGGAATGATTTCTGGGATGCTGAACCAAGTCTAGATCAGGAAGCTTCTGACAACTGTAACAGGCTTCGGACAGCAGTGAGGCAGGCTGGGTTTGATCTGGTGTCCAGAGCTGAGATAATTCACCTGAGAGCATCCAGGGTGACTTTTGTGAATGTGTGAAAGGGGCTGTGGTAAGGGAGTGTAAGGAGCACAGGGAAGCTGATGAAGAGAATGAAGTGAGGAGCAGGGGGTGCCTGGGGAGAGCACCACAGAGAATGAGGAAGATCGAAGAATAGTCCAATGCCTACTGTAGTCATTTTGCACAGCCTGGGCTCTCCTACATGGAGCATTTTTGTGTTGAGATTCTGTGCTGTGAGTGCTGCCTGTGCAAGGCCACACAGGCTCTTCTGCAGCTGCTTTGGGTTTTCTCCTGTCCAGGTTAAGTAGCTGAAGAGCTGAAATTCTTTGTTTTGCTGTGGAGCTGTTGAAAACAGAACCATGCTTTCACCTCAGCTGCAGCTGACTTGTACAGGCATTGGTTTCTTGCTTCCAGAAAAAAATGAGTGGTCACGTTGCTAAGAACACAAGTCTGGTAGGAACCAGACCAAGACATCCAATTAATTTCCCATAAGCACTCGCCACAATCTGATGGTGATGGCTTTTGCTGATAAATTGCATGGATTGGATTTAGTCCAACATGAGTAGGCAAGAACCTGTACAATACAATCTCAGTGATCCCACTGGCTCTCCATTCATCTGTTCACACATCTCTTTATATTTTCTGACTTTCTGGTCTCAAAGTCCGGATCTTGCCCTTCCTGATTCAAGCTTGATCCACATATGACAGTATAGAAGGTGTGCCACTATTCAGCAGTGGGGGAGAGAGCACTTTGATGCATAGTATCCAAGGTGCCAAAACCAATGATACTTTTGCCTAACAGTTTATTTTTAATTGTTTATTTTATTTGGGAAGTGGTATAAGCTACCCTAAGGGCACTGTCACTTACCAGGGAACAGATGCTTTTCTGCCAAAGCCCTGAGGTAAAGTCTAGGAGTAGCTTTCCTGAGGTGCCTGGTTCAGGACACAGTGATTTCCATTCTCCTATGTGCACAACTTCCATTCCTGTCAATAAAGATACCCGAAAATGGGGGATGCAATTTTTGTAGTTTCATAGAATCAGCTGTACTACCTCTGGCAAGCAGTAGCATGAGCCAAATAATTGCAAAGAAGGAGACGAGATGCATGAACAGATAGGGAGACCCATGTGACCTGAAGAATAATGTGTGCTGCCTTCCTTCTCTTGGACTCAAGTCTTGTGTGCTCCAGAAGGATGCAGCCTGAGACATGTTCCACTGAACTACAGCATTTGGCTTTGCCTGTACTTCCAGGGTTTGGTGCTTCAGATCAATTTTATTCTAACTACATGATATTTAATGCATTCTATTTAAGGTCCCCTCCAACCCAAACCATTCTGTGATGCTATTCCTAGAGGCTGTGTAGTGAAGTTAAATCTTCCTGGCATTCATTTCGTCTCAGGGAGGCATAGGCTCCTCTGGAGGTCAATGGTGAAGCAAAAGCCTCAGTTATCACCTCTCAATTGCCTTCTCTCTTGCTCAGGGAAGGGGCTTAGGAAGATCAGGCACACCAGGCTCAAACCCGCCCTTACAAATATCCCCTCTGTAATCGCTTCCTGGAATTTTCTTTAATCACCAGTGAAATGTATTAGTGGTAGCTTGTGTGTAGTGTTGATTGCATAGTTTGAATGCATAATCTGAGGATAGTTCAGGAAAGGAATCAGAGCAAGGAGACAAATGCACATTGCCAATTGAAACAGACAAACCCCATACAATTATATTTCGGAAGTGTGATTATTTTTAAGCTCTTTCTCTGGGAGTGTGTGTGTGTGTGTATATATTTGTACAGACACAGAAAATCTTGGATTCTTTTTATTTTCTAAGAGAAAGGACAACTGTGTTTATAAGACGCAATTGTTTAATATTTTCAGACCTTTTTCTTTGGGTTTAAGAGAGCAAGAAGGGAGGAAAGCAAAACAATCATGTAGTCATGAGATTCCCAGGAGCTAGATTTTATTCTTGTTGAACTTGAAACATTGTGAAATTCACAATGAACAGGTTCCTTCTCTAGAGTGCAGGAATTGCATTTCCATCAGGACTTTGAAGTAAAGGCTAATTTTGCTCTGTCTGCATCAGTCAAAACATAGCACAACACAATTCAGTTTCTTTTTAGTCCTATTTAAATTACACTAGACAAAGAGCTACCACAGTGCTGTCACTAAGCTTCTCATAATTTTTCACATACTTCACTCTTTTTTTTCTCTGCTCTATTAACAACTCGGAGTTCTGCCCTCTGATACATCTGAGGCTTTTCTTGTCTTGGCTACACTACATTTTGAGGTCAGCAGTTTCTTCTTGGAGGTGAGGAAGTCCCATAATTCCTATGCCTGGACATAAGTGATCAGTGTAAAGCCACCATCTTGTCTTCAGGCAGTCAAACATCCTGCTGACCTTTTTGGTGGACACTCTTACAGCAGTGACATACTACATGAATCAATTCCAGTAATTCTTTTTTGGCAGGGTAAATAACAGTTGTATAATTTCCCAATTCAGCCATATATAATTATATATAATTTGACTTAAATAGATCTAAAGTTTCCTCTGCTCCAGTCTCCCAATCTGAGGCACTGTGTTGCTCTTAAATGCTATTCCTGGAAGGAATCCGAAAATAATACTTAAGAAGTTAATAAAGAACTTGGGGTAGGATATAGAATGTGCCATATAATTTTCTGCACATCTCTAAAATGCTTTTTGGTAGAAAAAGAATTCCTGTATTTTCCCAAAAGCTGCATTTCTTTTCTTCATATAGACATTCACATGGGGCTAGAGTGGGGAAAGTTGATCAGATGAGAATTTGCTAAAGCTCAGCTAATCATTTATTAAAGCAGTCCCTGGCTTGCCAAACTCATTAATCTCATTAACAGGGAGGGAGGGCTGTGGTGCATGGTTAGCTGAGAGCACTGTGTTTTCTAAGCAGCGTACTTGGTTCACAAGGGAAAGATTTAAACATTCAGTGTGTCACTGCTCTATCCCTGAAGCTGAGGTAACGTGATGAGTCACTTGATCAGCTCATGCCAACATCCTGGCTTCGGCCTCACACTGTGAGGGGTCGTGGATCTGCCAGACACGGGTCTGACTGGACCCTTTGGGTTTTCAAGGTGTTCGTCGTGTTTCTTGCATTCAGGTGCAACCCAGAAAGTGTGAATCTTTGGAGAGGATTAGGCATCACCACTTGGTTCACCTTGAGAAGCAAGTGGTGGCGTTCCCTTAGTGCCACGTGGCCCCACTGCTTGGTCCCTGGGTAAAGGAAGCCTGGCAGAAATGTCCCAGCTGCCACTTCCTGAATAATCTCTCTGCCTGTGTCTCAGGAAAGTGCAGGAGCTGCCTCATTCCCTGCCTGTCCTGTGGGAGACCTCAGCTGTGCTTGGTGGTACTCTGGAGAACAGCTACACTTCAGTGTTTGGATTTGGGTTCCAGGCACTTCTGGCAAAACTGATAACCTGTGCAACTTCCACATGGCACAAGCACAATGTGCATGGTGTCCTGCATTCATTATATGTATAATATAGCATTTCAGTGCAAATGCCAGAGCACCCTTGTGCTCCTCAAGCCTTCACACAGCAGTCCCCCAGGTCTTTAGATCAGTAACTCTGTCAGTATCAGTGACCACCTTGCCTCTCTGAAATAAGCTTTCCCCTAGGTTCTGTCCGTGCTGTGTTTTCCTCTCCAACTGGGATTTATAGACTTCATTGTGCTTTACAGTTCACTGCAGACAGTGTATCACTGCAGACAGTGATAACTTGTTGAATTTAATATTCACTGTTTTATCAGCCTCTTCACTTTCCTTTGGTTCTGAATCCTGATCATGCAATCTCTGCTCGCTCTTGCTTTTCAGGTCTGCAGCTGTCTCCAGCTTGACCTTGTCCCTTCATGCCTGCTGTTATACACTTGATGCATTTATTGCTCTCTGTCTCAGTGCTTTAGTCTATGCCTTTCCCCCCCCCTTCTAAAGATATCTCCTGTCATTTCACTTTCTTTTGCCAATTTCCATCTCCTTTTCATCTCTGCTTTCTGGAGTGGGTGGGTTATTTTTGCTGACTCCATTTCCTCTCTTCTCTACATCGTTTCTGAATCTCCTGCAACCTGACTGCAGCCCTTTGTACTTATTTTGACCTGGGCTGAGACACCTCCAGCTTCTTCCAACTGAATGCAAGCATCCTGATTGTCATCCTGCTTATCATTCTGCTTTTCATATTTGCTCTGATACTTTTATCTTTACTCATTTTTCTTCTTTCTTGCATTTTCCCTTATCTTTTGCTTCTCGATATCAGGAGGTCTTTCTTTGTCCTCAGTCTTTTCATTCCTCACTAAGCTTCCCCAAGTCCACCAGTCCCTTCTGCAGATGTTGTGTAGACTTTCTCTTCTGCTTTGTTGTCTTGAATGTTTCCTTGTATTTCCTCTTTTTCCCTGTTTCCCTGTGTATTCTCTCTTTTCCACCTGCTCTGGGTGAGGGGTGTGGTAACACCAATATTTTCCATACTGAACCTGATTCCCTTTTTCTGGTGTTGTGTGAGTGCTCTCAGACTTTGCTGCCTGCAGCACAAGGAGGGAAGCACCGAAGGGCATGCGGGGGAGTTTTGGCCATATCCCTGTGGGTGGATGGAGTGCCTCACTCTCTAGAAGGCTGACATTGCTCTCTGATTCTCCCTTAGCTACACAAGGGTATAACAGCAGTCTCCTTCATCTTCTCTGGGGCCTTAGTGCATCAGATCCAAGCTGCAGCTCTCCTGTCAGCTGCTAGATAAACATTACATGTTGAGATCCCTCTCCTCCCTGGGAATGTGAAAAACTTGAAGGTTTGGGCCCTTTTCCTCCACACCTCCCACATGGAGCAATTTGTCTCAGCGCTACTTGCCAGCCCTGGGAAGAGCTCTGTGATTTGGATCCACTCCTTCGTGCATCTCTGGAGTTTGGCAGAGCAGGCAGCACTAACTGGGCACCAATGCAGAATGTGCTGGTCCAGGCACTGTGCGTTGCCTGATCTGTAAAGAGGAGGAGTGGTGCCACTGAAATGGGAGGGAGGTGACTTATTCTGCAGTGGAATTGTTATGAACTCAGCATCTGGCCCCTTGGCTGACCTGCTGTACAAGTGGAGCATGGCCATCCCTAAAATACCTCTTCCTTATGTTTGAACCTGCCCCAGAAGCTGTGAATCATCACGGCATTGTGTTAGGGCTTCTGCTGCAGAAGATGCTACATTTGAGCCTTCAGCCCTATCATGCTGTGTTTTTCTTTGTGACTGTAAGGTATGAAAAAGCAAACTTATTTCTGTTGCCAACATCCGTGCTTACATACATTGAGGAGTGTTCCTCCCTAGCACCTGAAACAGATGGACAGTTTTATGTGTGTGAGGAGAATAATGCTGTGATAAAATGCAGTAGCTCTCTCTTCAAGCAGTGCCAAGGCATATGATACTCTTTTCTTTTTGTCTTCCAGCTGAGGTGGAAGGGTTGCAGGTCACTGTGCCTGAGAAGAAGAAGGTGGCCATGCTATTTCAGCCTGCTCTGCTTCGCTGCCATTTCTCTACTTCTTCCACCCAACCAGCTGTGGTGCAGTGGAGGTACAAATCCTACTGCCAGGACCGGATGGGAGAAGCTCTGGGTATGGTGACTTCTGGTTTGCAAACAATGAGCAAGAGGAACCTGGACTGGGATCCCTACCTGGACTGTGTGGACAGCAGGAGGACAGTCCGTGTCGTGGCCTCCAAGCAGGGATCTGCCATCACCATAGGAGACTTCTATAAGGAAAGAGACGTCAGCATTGTCCATGGTAACTCTCCTGCCCCAGTGATGCTTGGTGGGGGCTGGAATGGACCCTCAGCAATTTGGGATCCTGGAGTCTGGCAGTAATTGTTCACTTGAGTCCCTCAGTAAAGGCTGTGGGAAGGGAGCTCTTGTATGTCAGACATTTAGGATTCAGCCAACCAATCCTAGACCCAAAGATAATTTCCTTTGGCAGTTCCCTTCAATTAACTCTAGGTCTTCAAATACAGTACCCTTTTTTCCCTTCCATGAAGTGGAAGCTTTTTGTTCCTGACTTCTGCATATTGCTGTGTATATAGATTTTCCTTAGCAGAGGGGTGGCAGCAAGAGATACAAATTCAGTCTCTCCATGATAGGTTTTTCTTCCTTGCAAATGCCACTGCTGTTTTCCTTGTTCTGAAATACCAAGATAATCCTACACCTCATGTTTGCTCAGACACAGACTTCAGGAGCTTACCCTGTCATGAAACTAAACTCACACAGCCTTGGGCAGAGTGAAAGGAAGAGATTTCTGTGGGGTGAAGTCAGGTTGGGTGGAGATGAGGGATGGCAGGGTCCTTAAACATTTTTGTTTGGAAGGCTGTGTGAGAGACCTTGTCCCTCCAAAGTACAAAGTGTCTGATTGACTGGGGAGACCACCTAGTCAGAAATGAAGACTCCTTGGCGTGGAGAGCATGCGATCCGCCTCACAAGAGGGAGTGTTTTCCTCTGTCTCTGTGAAACCTCTTCACAAATGACTGAGGTGCTGTAGAGGAGACAGTCTAAGCCCTTCTTTCATGACATGAATAGTGTTGGGACTGCGCCCTAGGTGACAGGAAGGACAGAGAGACATTAGTGACCCCTTGTGCTCTTGTCACTTGCAGGGTGAGCTGCCTCTGCAGCATTATCTGTTTTCCCACCCACAGCCAGAAGTCCTGACCTGTTGTTTTTTCCTGAATACTGTGATATTCTGGATAAGGTTAACCCTTCTTCTTAGAAAGGAAATGAGATGGATTTGGGGACACAGAGGTGGACTCAGCACATTCAACACTCCATTCTTCCAGTAAGTGTTGGAGGGAAAACCTGACTTCTCTTTTTTGCCTTCCAGATGCAGACTTGCAAATTGGGAAGTTGATGTGGGGAGACAGTGGCCTCTATTACTGCCTTATTATCACACCAGATGATGTGGAGGGCAAGAATGAAGAATCAGTGGAGCTGCTTGTGCTTGGTGAGGCCTCTTGTCGGGCTGCTTTTTCGGCAGATACCTGATGCATCTCTCCTCCTGCTCTCTTGCTGTCTCTCCATCCCCGTGCACTGTATTACTATGGGTGTAAGAGCTATGTAAAACAGTCCCTGCAGCACTGTCACCATTGCCTTGCACCTTGTGCAGTCATTCACACCTAGGCAAAGTGGGTGGCAAATGCTACCAAACCAGAATAGTAATGTTTACACCCACACTGCTCACACGTTACACAGGCGTAAATGACTGCAGAGAGTGCGGGGCTATGGAAAGGCAGAACCCTTGTTTTTAAGGGACAAAACAAAATACTTGCAGCAAAATGAACACTTGAGACAGAGTCTTTTAACAGCAGACACCCAGAAGACATCAGATCCTGTGATTTTTGCAGTCCTCATCCCACTCTTCTGACCTGTGAGGCTGTCAAGAAGCATTGTGTTGATTGTGTCAGTTTGGGAGATTTTTTTTGTGTGCCTGGTAACACTTGTCCAGTTAGAGGTGCAGTGTCACAGTCATCCTAATCAGGTCTGACCTAGTGCTGCCACTAACAGGACCTACCCTCTCTGTGGTGTGTGTGCGTGGCTCTGTTTCTGTTAAGCTCCCTCGAGCAGTGTGCTGAGCAGGTTCAGTTCCTTCCCTATTTGCAGGGCTTGTTTCAGTGATGGCTTCCATGATACAGCTCACTGTAAAGGTCAGAAAAACAGCCATTCCAACTAAAGGAGAAAAGCAGAGTGGAATGGGCCTTTCAGGGACTTTTGTTGACATGCCTGGAGCCCAGCTGTAGTACTTCAACCCTAGATGCCCCAGGAGAGAAGCTGAGTTTTTCCCAACTTACCTCAAGACCTCACCATGGCTCTTGTGCGTACAGACCTGTGCATCCTATGATGGAAATATGAAAAAGCCTGGGCTGGTAGTGTGTAGGTGATCTGTGGAGGTGTACAATGGAACACATCTGTCAAGCGTTCCCTTGATCTCCTGCAAAAGGTCAGGGTTTAATTGGTGTTTATATTTGGAGCTGTAGTTACCATCACCAGGTAAACCATACTGGGTGAGTGGCTGTCACAGTGCCATTGCCTCTCCTCACCCCTTTAATGTCAGCCAAACAATGGACAGTTGGAGTGGAAGGTCAGAAAGTGGAAGGTCAGTGTGGTCACTCCAGAAGACAGTGTCACATGCCTGTGTAAATCCACAGTGTGACTGTATCATCTGCCACTTAGGCTCAGGACCAACCTGTGTGAGTTCAGGTGAGGTTATCTCTGCCAGGTGGCAGTGGTAGCTGTTAAAATCCTCTCCTGAGGTCCTGTGTCTCTGTAGTGATGAGCTGCTGAATTTTTGTCCCTTTTTCACCTTCCTGTCTAGGATTTGGTGTCTTCCTCTTGTATATCTACAACTGTGCTCAGACACCAGTGATGAAACAGTACCATGGTAACAAGAAGAATTGGTTTTTCAGTGTGTACAGAAGGCTGTGGGGAGCAAACACAGAAATCCCCTCCTCTGGAGCTGGCTTGATGTCTCTGCCCCCAGTTCATTGTGGTTATGTTGGGGGACACATGTAGCCTGGGCTGCATCACCCTTGACCACATCTGCTTTTCTGTTCTGCCTCTGGGCCTGACCTTGCTCTTGATGCCGCTCTCTGCCAAGTTTGGCAGCAGCATGAGAGCAGACTTTTCGTGGGCTTCCTTCTGCCTCATGCTGTTAGGCAGCTTCTGTATATTGCTTTTCCTGGGTAGAGGCAACATTCCAGCTTTTGGTGCAATTACAGAGTTACCTACCTGTTTTCCTCCTTCCCTCTCTTCCCCTTCCCACCTTTTTCTTTTCCTTCTGCCTTTGCTGTTACTTCTTCTTTGTTTTCCTTTATCTCTCCCTGTTGATGGCTAAAGGATGAAGCAGCCAGTGATGAAAATACTGTTTCTTAATATTCTGCATATTCTGGGATATTTTTTGTTACATCCCATTGCTTGGAGGGGAGCACTGAATACAGATGTATGTTGTAGCAGTTTTACAGTCTTAGGGGACATGTGGTGAAAGGGTTTTATCTGCTGTTCTGCTGCTCTTGGGGTGGAACCCAGATTCCCTGTTAGAGAGTTTGGAGCAGCAGAGGGATAGTGCATGAGAGATGCTACGGTTCCCAGAGCACATTGCTGTTTGCTCCCTGCTGACAGTGGTCTCTCAGATGCAATTTACATTGCTTATTTTGGGGTTGCTGCATGATTTCAGCATAAATTAGAATTTTGAATAGAGCAGAGGTTCTATCTACTCACGTTATCCTTGGGGCGACAGAAAATTCAGAATGGAAAAGGAAATAGGAAAATATCCCTTCTAGTGGTTTCATATTAATGCCAGGATGAAAGGGCAGTTTAATATCATGCTGAAACCATAAAAGGACTGAGAAGCAAAAATGGTAGATATCATGCTAATAGCATCAATAAATTAATGGAAGTTTGTTTAGCTAAAAGTGCAGGCTCCTGCTTTTATACAGTGAATCATACCATGAAAAATTGATGAAAAGGCACTTTGTCACAACATAGAGCAGAATCTAAAATGTGGGCTAATTACAGTAATTTTTTTTTCCATAGGAAAGCGATCACAGAGATCTTCAGTGATCTCTTAAGCAGCCAGGGAGCCTGGGTAATGATGGGATTGCATGTTGGGTTTTGTTACCTGGAGTGCCATGTTGACACAGAGAGCTGCTGGTCAGCTCTGGGTAGCATCAGAGAATCCCATGTGCTGTCCTCATGTCACACCTATTTCAGAAAAGCATACAAGCATTTATTTATAGCCATTTGTGCTCAGCAAAGCTGATAGGATTTGTAAAGCATACCTAATGTTAGGCATGTGCTTATTATGTACTTTGCTGAAAAGACCATTCAGTATCTTTTGCTTAGTCAGGGACTTTAACCCTCTCTAAGGGAATCAGTGCAGGTGAGGTAAGAGGAGTGGCAACCTCTGTCTCAGGTTGGACATCAGAAGGAATTTCTTTACATAAAGGTTGGTTAAACACTGGAATGGGCTGCCCAGGGAGGTGTTTAAGGAAAGACTGGATGTGGCACTCAGTTCCATGGTGTGGTGGTGTTTGGTCACAGGCTGGGCTCAAAGATCTCAGAGGTCTTTTCCAACCTGTGATTCTCTGTGATTCTCTGATAGATGTGCATTTTGATGGCATTTGGAATCTCCCAACAGGATGTAGTGTGCTGGAAACTGTATGAATTCTACTTCTGCTGCAGACTAATCCAGAACTTAGCAATTCCACATCAGGAATCAAGTGATACTCCATGCACTTGTGTGTTTTATTAGAAAAGGAGAACCTTTGCTGACATTACAGCTGGGCTAATGAATCCCTTTGAAAATTTATACATTTTATTTTTTAAACTTTTTAATGTGATTGAATCTAAAAGGCTGAATATTAAATTGAAGAAAGTCTACATTTCTGTCATAGTAGCTGGCAGCTAATGTCCTGCTTCTTGAAACACAGACAGTGCTATTAATCATATTGTTATTTGTAGCCCCTGTGTATTTCTTTTTTATATGAGAATGTCAATGGGCTTCAGTAAAGTAATTAATTGCAGCCTTTCTGAAGGGAACTGCACGTGTACCAGTGCAGGGATGCCGCATGCCTGGAGTAACCTTCAAACCAGAAGTGCAGTGCAGTGTCAGTGTCATCCTGGCTTTGTGTCACCAGCCCACATCAGGAAGCAGTCCAGCTTCATTGCACAGAACCCAGTAAGCCTTCCCAAGAGCCAGAATTTACTAACCAGGTGCAGGGACCTATGGAAGCTGCTGCACTGCTCCCTTCCCAAGCTGGAACAGCTACAGAGCAGTGCCTGAACATAGAGTTCAGCACAGCTGGGCACCCTGGAATGCATAGGTCTGTGCCAGCTTGGTTGATGTTTGCATTCTGAGATTTTACATAGCTTAGACATGCTTCACAAAACAGTGGCTCCATTCCCCAGGACCTGTCGAGTTTCTGGAAGAGGCCAGAAAGTACTCCACTAATTCCAGCTGTTGGTTTGATGCTTTGGTTAGTGATCTGTGCACTTTGCTAGACAGATATTGCCAGCTTTCTTTTCCATCCAATTCAGCAGCTAATTTTACATAAACTGTGTATCAGTGAAATATTATTTTATGGTTCATCATAGAATCATTAAGATTGGAGAAGACCTTCAAGATCATGGAGTTCAACCTTTGAATGAAGACCACCATCTCAACTAAACTGTAGCACTAAGTGCCACGTCCAGTTGTTACTTGAACATTCCCAGGGATGGTGACTCCACCACTTCCCTGGGCAGCCCAGGGAGTCCATTCCAGTGCTTAACTACCCTTTCAGTGACAAAATTCTTCCTGATGTCCAACCTGAAACTGTCCTGGCACAGCTTGATGCCATTTCCTCTCATTCTGTCACTTTTTCCCTGGGAGTGGAGGTCGATCCATCTTTCCACACCCTCCTTTCAGGCAGTTGTAGAGAGTGGTAAGGTCCCCCCTGAGCCTCCTTTTCTCCAGGTTAAACACCCTCAGCCACTCCGCATCAGACTTGTGCTCCAGACCCTTCCCCAGCTCCGTTCCCTCCTCTGGACTCACTCCAGTCCCTCAATGCCTTTCTCAGAGTGAGGGGCCCAAACATAAACACAAGACTTGAGGGGCCTCACCAGTTCTGAGTACAGGAGGACAATCACTGCCCTGCTCCTGCTGGCCACACTATTCCTGATCCAAACCAGGATGCCACTGGCCTCCTTGCCCATCTGGGCACACTCTGGCTGACTTTCAGCTGCTGTTATCCAGCACCCCAGGTGCTCTTTCATTGCACAGTTTTCCAGCCACTCTTCCTCAGCCTGGGGCACTGTCATCTCCTCCAGGAAGATGCTGTGGGAGACACTCCCAAAGGCTTTATTAAGTCCAGGAAGACACATCCACAGTCTTTCTCTCATCCTCTGGGTGGGTCACCTCATCGTAAAAAGGGATCAGCTTGGTCACGGAGGACTTGCCTTTCCTAAACC